GAACCCCCTCCCAATCCAACGGAGCCGCCGGATGGGCCGAAAGCACTGCTTGTCCGAGGACAAGTCCCGCGCCCCGTGCCGGAAGATCACCTGCGCCGCGGCCAGCCGCAGGCCCGCCGCCTGACCCATGGCCGTGGGGAGAGAAAAGACGCTCCTGGTGGTTCTGGGGTCATGTTGTTATCAAACTCGGAAAATGGGGTTGTTTCCCTTGAACCCACCACTGAACGGGTGGTAAAATAATGAGGCCAGTGGTTGACTGGGACAATTCAGGTTAAAGGACACAGAAAGAACAGGTGAACGTCTGAAAGCCATGACTGAACATGGACCAAAAATGGGAAGACAAAAAACTCAAAGGAGTAAAGGGTCTGGCGGGAAAGGGGCAAGTAAAGGGAAAGGTTCCTCCAAACAGATTGGAAACAGGTCGCCGGAGGCTTGGGAAAAACAAAACCAACGGATTTGCATGTCGACCCCAACGAGAAACATATGAGCAAGCATCTAAAAGCTGATTTTGAAAAATCCGTGGTTAGCTACTGTGTCGGCAAAGTCCTTCCAGTTAACATTTCCAATACTAGTGGCAGACACATGGTTACGTGTGAAGGGGCAATGCTTGTGAATTTGTACATGCATATATGTATATGTGTATCTATATCTATAGGAAATGAGTATGCATGGCCACCCCCCCATGATCCACGCTTTCTGTCTTGAAGCCTTTTAAACTTTCATATGTATTACAAACGGAGGTTTTTCACGGTAGACTGGCTGGCGTCATGGTTTTTATGAATTGCATACTTACATTTAAGATGCATAAATATGAACATGCAAGAACGAAACTCCTGACCAGACTCTGGAAGCATTCCACTGAATTGGCCAATATATAAAAGCATTATTTTTTCAGCGGTGTCGCGTAAGAACCAAAAACTGAGGCAAAGCAACGAAAAACAACTCGAGAAAGCTTCTAGTTTCTCTGAGGGAGAACCTGGGGCTTAAGCACTTCTTGCTTTGTAGTTTTCTCGAATCCTTCGTCGCGCTTTGCCTCCCTCATGTTTTAATGGTGTTTCCTGAGAAAAAAGACAATCGCTCGAGTGTTTTTTGGTTTCTGCTCGGAAAAAAAGGCGGGAGGGACAAAAAACAAAATAACCAAACCGAGAAACACAATCTCTGAGGGAGAGTCTTTGGTTTCAGGTCCAATTTGTTTGGTCTTCTCGGGCTATCTTTTGTTTTGATTTCCCTGGCCAATTGTTTGGTTTAACCCTTCTTAGAAAAAAAAATGGCAACGGCGACAACCCGAGCTGATTTTGCAAGGCCAGGTGCGAAACAAAGAAGAACCATTTGTTGTGTTATGCGGGATAATGTCACAAACAAACAAACAAACAAACAAACAAAAGCTGAGGCTAAAGCCAAAGATTCTCTCCCAGATGTTGCCCTTTTGTGCTGTGGTTTTCAAGTTTTTGTTCTTTTGACCCCTCGCAACGCGCTGGCTCTGTTTGCATGTAAAAAAACAAATCCCCAGCATGCTGCAGACATTTTACAGCAGAAGTCACCATGGCTTCGACCCGCTTTTGGCTAATATGGGGTGTATTTTGCGAAGGTGTGTGCGCACCAAAGGCCTTGTTGCGCTGGAACCTGTTACAAGTGGAGAGCAGGTCTGTTGCGGTAGAACTCTCAAAACCACCCTGGTTGAAAGCTGGTCAGCAGAAAATCGGCCAATGCAAATGTTGAGGGCGCCATCAGTCTCCATTGCCCTACGCTTGCGCAAGCATGTTGAGTTTATTACAACAAACTCTTTCGATTTCATTGCGCTTGGGGGGCCAAACGCCCAGAGCTGCACCCTGCTGACGCCCACTCCTGCCAAGCCTTTAGATGGCACCACGACTTTGCAATTTGCGAGGCACTGCCAAAGCACAGTCTAGCCCGCAGGCTGCAGAACACATCGCTGCCTCCCCCCTAGCAGCTTCCGCTTGCCCAGTTGCGACCGCCGCGGCAATCCCTATCTGGTCGGCGTGCAGGGTAGACACCGCAAACCACATCTCGTGTAAATGGTGGACGCTGCCTTCCTGCTTTGGATGGCTGAAAGGACAAGAGCGAGGGCGAATGGAAAGGTTGAACGGAAAGGCTTTTGGATTGAAAAACCTTGCGAGACCACATGGTTGCCGCTGGAAACTTGGGTTTTGCTTCTTACGCTTGGCGCCTGGTGGGTTACAGGGCTGTTACATACCCGCGCTGCGCGCAAGGGCGGCGAAAATAAACGCTGCTGCGCGCTTCCCTGCTTTCATGCACACAAAGAAAAAGGCCATAACCTGCCAAAAATGTGGTGGTGGTGGTGGTGGTGGTGGCGGTGGTCTTCTCTCACAATTGCAGCCCTCCAACGCGATGAAGGCTTTCCGACACCATCAGGCAGTGGCTCCACCTCCTCAGTGACCGGCCTGGCACGGAGATCTGAGGACCGGAATGACGGTGCAGCACTCCCGGGGAGAAGAGCCGGAATATGGCGTGGATCCCGGCAAGCCCGACAGCCCAACGATCAAGCTGACAGACGGTGATCGCCTTTGCGGGTCCTAAGAAGCTCACGCGTGCCTTGGAGGAGTCCATGGGGCGAACAGAGCTGGACCGCAATGGCGAGCTGCGGAAGCAATTCTACCAAGACATCAGGTGCTTGAATCTGAATTGCTACGTGCAATTTGAAGTTGAATAATCACTTCTTTCCAAGTTGGTTCTCAAATAAATTGGAAAGGGAAATTGAGTAGAACTTAATAAGCAGGAGGCATTTATTTTGGACTTGTAGATGTGACATACTACGGACAAAGGTGACACTAACTTGTTTGGCCTGCAAATGCAGCATGACACATTGTGACATACAGTTGATGTGTGGCCACAGATGGTACAAATGACACAGAAAAGGTGGATCATTAGGCTGAGCATATATTATACATACAACACATGGATTTGTGCATATACACATGTATACATAGAAAAAGCATCGGAGATGGGACGAACCTCTAGGGCACAGTTGCCGTCTAGCTGATCTCTTGAGAACTCGAGAGCCAGCCAGTTGCCAAGAGGCGTGTCTGATCAGGATCACCCCAATGTTCACAGGCCAAATTTCAAAAACCCCTGGGCATACCTGAAAAACCAACCAGAAGGCCCACACACACACTTAAACTCCCAAGGGAGAGATCATATCTTTCGAGTACAACTGAGTCTCGAGTGGGTGGGTTTTCGAGCACACGCCCAACGGCTACAGCTGACCTGTGTGCCCCTTTACCTCCCCCAGACTCGCCCCAGCTGAGGTCTTGGGAATAGGATCATTGACTGACCCTTCAAAGGCACAGGTCGAAGCAAATATCGGACGTAGGCACGTGCTAGCATGGAAGAAGTGGAATGAAGACACACGTAGATGGGTGAATAAGTGGAATGAAGACACATATTCCAAATGGGTTGCCCAGTGTGTTGATGTCTGACTTGCTCATACCATTGCCTTTGTCTACGAGAGTGAGTTGGGACCTTCCTTGTTGCAAGACACATGTCACCTTCACGTCTTGCCGGTCTGGCAAAGAGACAGCATGATTGTACACGCAGACTACTGGTGCAGATCCCACTCTAAATGACCAAGCATGGCAAGAGGTCAACCAGAGATGGTGTAGGACGTACTGCACCCTTTTGCGGGCAGGCTCGAAATTAAAATCAAGTCTGCAGTCCCCAAACCTGTTTGCTTGGCTGACCTTTGCGGCCTTCAGAATCAGCTGATTAAAACTGTGCTGTGGCGAATCGAGCTTTCAATTCAGCTCACAAAGATCCACACTGACATGATGCTCTTGGCATCTCTTGGCATTCTTTGCAACGGGATTGGCTTGTCAGGATTGCTCCGAATCCCCCACCATTCACCCGTCCCAACATTCTCATAGGATGGAGGGCAAAATTCGGTCCAATGCATGCGTTCCAACGAGCCCCTGACCAAATGTCTTCAAGTTGAGTTTCTCCTGATGAACTATTGTGGCAGTTGCCAGCAGAACATCAAGCTCCCACTTACCACGAAACGAAACAAGCAAATGAACAAACTCCAATCTTGGAGCAATCAAAAGAGCACGGAAGGCGAGCGGCCCTTAAGCCCTAACCCAAGAAGGCATATCATACATTTTTCTGATTCCAGCAAGTTTCAGTAGACCATCGGCCCGCAAAACGCACCCTGCTCGAACAAGGTATGTTCATGCTTCTGATTCCAGGTCCTTTCAGAAACGACCTCCAGCCCCAAACCTCGCGCTTCGCCTGCAGCTCCTCTTCCCTCGCCGGCGGCAGCCGCGCGGAGCGCTGCGGCGCGGGGGCCTCCGCGCAGTAGCCGTCGAAGGGCGCGCGGAGCGCCTGCTGCAGCTCCGCGGCGGTGGGCGCCATCGCGCAGATCGAGGCGTTCGCGGGCCGAAAGAGCTGCGAGCCGAGAGCGGACTGGGTTTATGGGGGGGGGGGGAAGGGGGGGAAGGGGGGAGGGAGGTACCCTTTTGAGGGGATTCTTGTTGTGGTAATTTGATGGGAGTTGCGTATAATTTGTTGTGGCTCGGTTCCTTTTCAGGTTGGTAAGGGAAGCCGAAAAGAAAGCCCGCCGTGTCAGCAACAGCTTTCTCGCCAAGAACCACTTCCGTAGTTGCTTGGGGGAACCGATTCCGAAACTTGCACTTGTGGACACCAAGGGCTCGCTGGGCTGGTGAAGGGCCTTTCGCCGGAATTGGGAATTCTCATGGCCGTGGTTCCAGGTGAAGAGCGATTGAGGTTTTTCAGGAACCTTCCTGAAAGCATAGATCAATCATGGTGAGTGGCATAAGATTCAGAGGGTGACACCATGTTTGCGAATTTTCCGCTACAACAGAAACTGGGAGGTGAGCTGTGGAACCCGTGCCTGGAACAGGCAACCTAGTGTCAATTCCATGTGTTGGAAAAATGGAGTGGAATTCCACGTACCCCTAAAATGTCCAGGGAGGCACGTTCTGCCGCCGAGACCCCAAATGTCGCTCCTCCGTCGAAGGCCGGCGCCTGGTTCGGAGGCTGGGAAAATGAAGCCCAAATGATACCGAGATCCGAAAACAACGTCCAAACAGGGGTTGGCACAATCCAGTGAACAGGATTTGCGCTACTGATGCTTGTCAAGGCACCCACCGAAGCAATGTGGCCATGTTGCCTCAAGACGTCGCCTGTGTTTGAAGCCAGAATAAAGCCGAGCACATGGATTGAGCTACCCTTTCTAGCTGTGTGAATAGTGAACAGGTTCAGAAAAACGCCTTCAGCGACAGCCTCAAGGAAACCTACAGGGCTGCGTGCTTTGCGCATCTCCGAATCTCCATCGTCTTTGACAACTCCACCCCCCCGCCCCCTCCTGTTGCGCTGAAAAACCTCGTCAAAGCTTTTGAAGGAAACCAGGGAAGGAGGGTGAGATTGCAAAGCCTGGGCTCCGGGCTTCCTAGCCACCCAGCACAAAAAATTAACCTCTGAGTGCAATGCTGTCGGCGAATTCATCTGAGACCTGGCTATTTTCTCAAAATTGGGGACTCCAAATAGGCCTTTACACTGAATCGCAAGGTGCTAATGGTCGTGTCAGGCATGTCACCTTCGGATCAATCGATCAATCCGGACGGCCAGGTTCCCCTCTTGGCGGGATTTCAATTTTTTAGGGGGGAATGTTCTGTTAATCCAAATCTAACATCAAAGAGAAATGCCGCAACGAGCCTAGGGTTGACCCTGTTTTCCGCAGGTGGTTGCCCTCCATTTGGTGGACATGGCCCCAATCTCCAGCCCTCGGCCACCGGGAGATTGGAGGGAGGAGCCGTCGGAGTGCGAAGCGACCCGATCGCCTCTTCCTCGCTGGGCACAAAGCTGGCGCACCTCGCCGGTGCATCCAACGAAGCCGAGGGAGCAAGCGCCGGGGATCCGAATCTTCCACACAGGGGACGGACAAAATCCTGCACTACTCTGAACCCATGGAAAGCATATTGTTTGTTGCCATTTACAGGGGAATCATCCTTCCAGGGATTCCTTCGTGGTGCAGTATTTTGTCCCTGGTGTCAAGGTGAGGATACGGAGAACCCCTCTCACCAAATGAATATGGACGGGATTGAGGCAACCTTGGGACTGGATAGCGAATGGTGTTTTTTCAGACCAGGAAACGCACAGCCAGGATTCTGGAAAATGACTTCAACAAGAGACGCGGCAAACTTCTCAGAAACACAAGCTTGCGATCACATGTTGCTGCACCCTACACAATTCAGACAGATTGCCGCAAATAACAAGAACAACTGCATATTGCAGAACATGGTGCGCGGTTCAGATTCAATGTGACTTCTTCCTTTGGTTTCTTTTGGCTTCCTTTCCGCGGTCAATATCCATCGTCTCAGACTTTCGGTACCTAACCCACCCAGCAATACTTGTCGCAAACAACCACATCAACAAACAGGTGGGGTCGAGCCCACCCATGTAAACACAAATACCGGAGCACTCATTGATAAGCAGCGTCCAACAGTGGGTTGGTACAACGAGGATAACACTACCAAACAGCTCAGCGAAAAGACAACTTCCACTTCATCAGTATTGCGTTCAACCCTCCAGCGCGAGATAAATTTGCTTGGTAAGGGGAAACCAACGGCCAGCTACTCGGAGTATCCGTAAAGAAAACCGCTCCAAATTCATAAGAGCGGATTCCCTGCAAGCAAATTAGTAAATTAGTCTTTAGACGGAATTCTGGCTAGTATGGTCAGCCCCGTTCACTCCCCTGCCGAAATCCATGGAATAAGCTGCGCGGAATCTCCAGCGCTGGCAACCCAAAAGACAGCCAACCATGGTGGGGTTTCATTCCTGATTTTGCGACAAACATACTTGAACAGCCCAACTCTGCGCCAGACCAGGGTCTTGCTTCCGTGATTCGACTTTGCCTTGTGCTAATCAAATCCTTCTGGGTCAGCCTTTCGGTGAGTTTTTGGGACTAGGTTCGTATGTCTCCAGGAGGAAAGCTACACTTTTAAGGGCCAAACATATTTGTAGTAAGGTAGTTTGATAAAGACTATCCTGATGCACTCTGTCAAAGAAACATCGCAATGCAGCAAACGGCCTTAGCTCAGTTGAGCAGCGCGCTTTTGAGTTGGTGTGGTATCGTTCCATTTGTCCGCATACAATCTGTATACATACATGTGAACACACCTGTGCATTTTATACTTCGGGATTTCTATGGAACATATGCGGGTGGCTCAAGTTCTATGACTTCGCATAGCAGGTGTTGCGGCAGCGGCAGCAAGGCGAAAGGCAAATCTAAGAAACATCATGAAGAAACAAGAAGAGCAACACTGCAAGGAATGATGTACCATAAGTTGATGAAGAAGTACATATTTTGCACACAGCGGGTCAAATGTGTGAATGCAAATGTGTATATACAAAAATATAGGTATATGAAACAAACCTGGGCAATGAAAAGCAAAACAATAGTAAACGATTTGCAAAATTCACAACAAATCTAGCCAATTGTTAGGACGGTTTTACGTTCGTGGATGGACAAAATCGCGACCCTTTCCCACCCCACCCCCCCTGACAAAAAAGAAGCAGTGAGCAATGACACCCTCTACTTTCAGAGGCAGCTGTGTGTCAATAGTTTCCATTCAACCGCACGTTGACCTGTTGAGCAAGAGGCAAACCGGCGCATGGCCCACGGGCGGACTCCTTGGGTTGATTCGTCAGCTGAGTCCCAATGAACCCTGGCGATAAAGGGATCTACCAAACCCCTTGAAAAAAAATATCCCAACGGCGGCACCTATCTATGGCTGGGACTGTCCCCTACTAGCCTTCACCTACCATGAGCTTGTGTTTGCTCAAGTGGAAAGGGCCAAGCGAAGAATCCTCAGGCGAAGCTCGCGGTTCCGGGCTTTCTCCTTGCTGGCATTGAGGCGCTGGCACACCCTCCACGCCCAAGTTGCAGGAGGAGTTCCAGCGGTTGCCTGAAAAGACCAGCGAAACAGGGATGGGCACACACACACACACACGAATATATATATGTATAAATACACACAAATATATGTATGTACATATATATATACATATATATGTATATATATATACATATATATATATATATACATGCATCCAAAGGGTCCTTGATGCAGGGTGAGCAGCAATAAATATGCGCCGATCTCAATGTATGCCAGGTTTAGTAGACATATGCTAGGCAATGTTGGCAAAGATCTGAACATATACTACGTAGAAACAAGCTGACCCTGGCACACACGGACAGAATAGCTAGATAGGCACTAGACATGCTGGACACATACATCATACCATGGATATACCAGGCAACTAGTAGAAACCATGGGATAAGCTTAGCTGCTGTAAATCAGTCGGAGCTATATGCATTGAAGATACAACAGTAAATGAACAAATTGCATGGGGATGCTCCCATACATGTATACACATGCATATGTTGCTTGTGTGTAGGTGTGTACGTATGTTGACATATATAATATACATGTGTATGTATTGTGGGTGTTGTTGATTGTATTTTCATCTTTGCGGGATTCGTTATCAATTTCAACGGACAAGGAAACAAAGCAACCAATTCTGGTGTTCGCCCGTAGTCTGTCTGGAGACAACACCCAATGCCGCTGCCAAGAGCTAGACGGTCCGCATGAATTCAACCGACTTCGGCTGCATGTAAGCCACTTTTGAACTTTGCTACCCTGAAGGACATAGGAAATTAGAGTGTGAGAGGGAATAAGAGAGCCCGCCTGGTATTTGCGGCAAGTTGATTTAGTCGCCCCCATGTCCCTCCCAACAGGACCATAGACTATTGGATACGTTGAACGAACCTATGGGCGCCGTCCAAGCGGACTCTAGATGCAGCTGAAAGACTGTGTGCCACATGCATCTTGTGTCTTGAAGGACAAGCAATCATCCATGCTGTCCGCCCAGGCACTGCTGCCTGTTGCTACGATTCCCGTAGACATGAGCCTGCGTGATCCACGCACGCAAACAGGTGATTGCTCTGTCTAGCCATCAAACCGAAGCAAGAGATTCAAAATGTTGATCCCCATCGACCGAAAAGCTCCTTCTCCAACATGGATGTGTCTTTGTTTGAGGCTACCCCCTTTTGCTTGTGGATTTCAACTAGGTCCTCCAGTTTTGGAGGTTACAATAAGTTGGTACCAACTTTCTTCTGTCCATTCTTGTAGGGGAACCCTCCCAACCAAAACAAGGTAGAAAGGGCACCAATTGCTGGGGGGACCTAGGGAAACCACAAGGAAAGCCGCGAGCCATGGACTCGGCACTTGGCCCCCAGCCCCGCCTTCCGCAGGCTCCTGTCGGAAAAAATATCTCGTGCGCTCGATACGGGTTGCTTCAAAGACCACGAGATGCGTTTTGGTTTCCAAAGGGAAACCAAAAGAAACAACAAGACCTCATCCTTTTGAGGCCCATCATGGCCCATCCTTTTCTTCACCGTTGTCCTGTGTTATTTGTTTGACCTTGTCGCTCATCCTTTCGAGGCCAGGAGCAACCCTCATCAACGCAAGTCATACTATCCTGCATGAGATGAAGGGAGTCGTCGAGGAAGTTTTCAAATCGCACCACCGAACCCAATGCGAGTCCGAGCTGACCTAGTAAGGCTCAAAAAACAACTGTGAGGAGTGAGCTTGGGAGTCTTCAATCTACTTTGACTCTAGCTGTGCCATGCATGCTGCAGGTCCTGAGCGCGCTTGTGCGTGTATGTTGTGTCTGGATCTGTGAGTCTGTCTGTGTGTGCCTGTATCTGCGTGTATGCGTCTATGCGTCTGCGTCTATGCGTCTGCGTCTATGCGTCTGCGCGTTTGTCCGGCCGTTTTGTGTTGGAGTGTCTGTGTCTGAGTGTCTGTGTGTCTGTGTGCCTGTGTGTCTGTATGTCTGTCTCTCTGTCTGTCTCTCTCTCTCTCTCTGTCTCTCTCTGAGTGATTTCCGTGTGTGCGCGTACGTGCGTGCGTGAGCGTCTGCGCGTGTGCTCGGTTGCGCGTGTGCGTGTGCCGGTGTCCGGGTGTGCACATGCGGGTGTAGGGGTGTGCACATGACATGCGAGTGTGCGGGTGTGCGGGTGTGCCGGTGTGCGGGTGTGCGGGTGCGCGGGTGCGCGGGTGGGCAGGTGGGCGGGTGGGAGGGCGCGGGTGCGCACGCGCGCGTGTGCGCGTGCGCGCGCGTGCGCGTGCGTGCGCGTGTGCGTGCGCGCGTGCGCGTGCGTGCGTGTGTGTGTGTGTGTGTGTGGGTGCGTGTGTGGGTGTGTGTGGGTGCGCGTGCGTGTGTGCGAGCGTGCGTGCGTGCGTGCGTGCGTGTGTGTGTGTGTGTGGGTGGGTGCGTGTGTGTGTGCGCGAGCGAGCGTGTGTTCGTGCGTGCGTGCGTGCATGCGTGCGTGGGTGGGTGCGTGTGCTTTGTGTGTGTGTGTGTCTGGTGTGTGTGTGTGTGTGCGTGCGTGCGTGCGTGCTGGCTGTGTGTGTGTGTGTGTATGTGTAAGTGTGTGTGTGTGTGCGCGTTGTGTACGTGTATGTGTGTGTGTGTGTGTGTTTGTTTGTTTGTCCGTGTGCCTTGTGTGCTCGTGTCTTGTAAGTGTGAGTCGTATGTCTTGCGTGCTTTCGTCTTGTGTGTGTGTATGAGTGTGTATGCCCCGTGTGTATGTGTATGCGTGTGTGTTTGTGTTGTATGTGTGTGCGCGTGTAAAATGTGTAATCTGTGTGTGTGTGTGCGTCGTGTGTGTGTGTGTGATGTGACGTGATGTGATGTGATGTGTGCTGTGATGTGAAAAGTGTGTGTGTGTGGGTGTGCAGCGTGTGTGATCTGTGTGTTTGTGTGTGTGCGTGTGTCGTGTGTGTATGCGCTGCACTGCTTGTGACAGCTTTCTTTTTTTCAGGGTGTGCATTTAAGAGAGTGCCCTTACTTTGCGGCGAGCACAAAACATTCAAGACAGAAAAAGTCATGCAAGCTGGTTTGGTCTTTGATCCCTGTCCAGCGTGTTGTCGCCAGGGGTTGATGCTTTCATATTCAATGTTTGGGTCTGATTAAGCAGAGCCTGTTCTGGGTCGCTCCTGTGGCTCAGGAATCGGGTGGTTTCAGCTGATCTGGGTGGGTCTGGGACTGCTTTCATGTCGGTTGAGCCCTGCCGTGTAGCAGGTTTCGAGATTGTTTGGCAGCTGTCAAGCTTGCCTGTTACTTGTTGGCCCTGCTCCTGTCAGAGAACTCAGACCCCTACGAGTTGATGAATACGAAGGGTGCCAGGGACGCCAAAGCAAGCTGATCCATCTGCGGTGCCATTGCAGAACCGTGTTAAAAAGTTAAGACATCACACATTTGGAAGGACTAGCCAAATGCTTCAAAGGAGAGAATTTCAACTTTGAAGCTATCTGGAGGGTCCTTGGTTGTGGCACATGGCCATATTTTTGCCAGGACAATTGCCCACACACCATTCCAAGCTAAGCTGGACAGCGTATTGCACAAACCCTAGACTTTCCACCCATCTGAGCGGGATTTAAGTCACGCGTGAATCCAACATGTTCACGTCAGTCTGGCCTCTTTGCCCCTTTCTTTCCCGCTCCGCTCTCTCTCTCTCTGTCTCTCGCTCTCCCTTCTTCCTCTCTCTCTTTCTCTCTTGTGTGGGTGTGGATAGTCTGCAAGAATTTCTGGCTTTCTGGCTCACGTTTAGCTAGTTGTGCAGCAAAGGAAATCTAGGACAGCCCTCCGAGCAGAGCGATACAGTAGCTGCTTGCGGCAAGAACCGTGGACGACTCTGAGATAGAGTATAGTGCTCGGGACCTGAGTTTTTTCTGGTTGAACCATGGGATTGCTTGGTTGGTTGGTTGCCTGGCCCGAATGCTTACCCTGCTCAATAAGCCTTTTTTTGATTGCTGACCAGGGTGTCCCACTTGAGAGGGAGCAGACTTTGGGCGAAGCCCTGTGAACCCAACTGGGGTTGGCCTTTTGCTACCGCAAAATTTGGGGGACTGCCCATTGCGGAAGTAAGCAGCGCTCCAAAAACCCGCCCTTCAACCAGGTTCAGAGATTGGTCTGAATTTTCCTTCGGGACCCTTTGGTGGACATTATTTCGGTGGGGATCCATGTCCACCAACCACTTTGGAGGGGGTTCCGTACTAAAAAGTTTAGGCAGACGATTCATCAAGTAGGTGTTGCCCTCAGATCCCCCGCTAAAAGTTTAACTTCTAGTGGGTGAAATGGAAACTACCAGTACACACTAAAAAGCTAAAAGGCTAAGGAACCGAATAGCCTTCGGGAGCCACCAAGCAAATAGGTGTTGCCGTTGCAAGGTTCCACGTTCGACCGCTCACTACGACTCGCTCCTGGCCCCACTTGGGGCAGCACGCCACGACCCCGTAGATCTCCACCTCCTGCGCGATGGGGCTGGACCACATTGGCTAGAAAACATTGGATCCACTTGACCAGATAGACAACTAGGTCCTCCAGTTTTGGAGGCTACAATAAGGGTGCCGTTTGATTTTTTGTAGTCTATTTTGGTAGGGGAATCCTCCCAACCAAAAAAGAAACAGTAAAAGGGCACTACTGGGGAACCTAGACAAACAAAAACAGCTCTTCTTTTGGGGGAATGAACCAGCCCTGGGTTTAAGTCTACCCTAGTCAAAAAGTGAAACCCTGGCTGGAACCATCCTGAGACTCAAACAGAGTTCCAGTCAAAGGTGACACCATACTGGAAATCGCCGTCGCACGGATGCGGATCCTAGGCAGGTAAAATGTGAAGTTTCAACATGGCCAAGATGTGGCTGCGGCTCAGAAAAGTGGAACCAAAATGGCACCTTGGTGAATTGAACCAAAGACTAAAACCCGCGTAACCCCAGCTCTTTAACTTTGAGCCATACCCATGTATCTTTTGAGGAACCCTGTTGAACCCCTAGATTGAGTTCTTCTTTTTTTGAAGAAAACCATTGGCTCGCCAGCTCTGCTGTACCGAATGACACTTTTTGGGGGGGGAAACATGCGCAGCGCTTGGAGCAGGTTGGCTTCGGCTGGTATGCTCGTCCAGCAGGTGCCTCCGCCCTTGAAATTGGCTGCCTGTGTGGAGCCTTGGACGTCCCGGCAACTTTTCAGTCGGCCGCCTTGCGGAGTGATTGCCGAAAGGCTCCATCGCTGCCTTTCTCCTGCTGCTCTTTCCGAGCCACGCTTTCTGCGGCATTTCAAGAGAAAGACCTAGACAAACTCACCCTTTGAGGCGGTCAACTGCGCTCTGTCAAGTTTTACACGCGTCTTAGCTCACTATAGACTATATAGCTCATCTTGCGTCTACTTCGGACCACATAGACCTCAAACCGCCACAGCGGAATCGTATCCAATGCGAATGCGAACATCCCATCACATGGTAACCCAAACTGAGCCCTTGGTCAAAGAAAAGAAGAAGACAGAAACATCTAGTTGGACTCCTGCCAGTTGCATTATGTGACCTACAACAACTTGTCCCAAGTCTACATCCACTCCCTTGCAGATGTTTGCTATGGAACCCAAGTGATTGCAAGGGATGATTCTCCAGCCCCGCATAAGGCTTGGACTAGGACGATTCCCCAATGAACCCCAAGGGTGCTATTTGACTTTAAGACAACAAAAAACCCTAGTTATTCACGTAGCGTTGGTTGGTCAGTGCGAATGATCGATGGCTTTCAGATTTCCAGGTGGCTTTCAGGTTTCCTGGAGGCTTCTTCGTCCAGCTGGTTTTGCGCGGATTGTGGAACCAACAAAATCCAGGTTTCCAGGTTCTTGGCCCACCTAAAAAACAACTTGCAGAGCGCTTCTGTTTCATAGTTGGACCAAAAAAAAAAAACATGTTTGCAGGAGACTCCAGGTTTGCTTGGATTCTGCTTCATATTTGGGCCCTAAACCCGAATATCGATTTGGAGCCCCGGCTTCCCCTCAAATTTGCGGCTCCTCCCGCGCGACGCTTTCGGCCCCCGAGAGGCACCGCTCGGTGTCGAAGCGCTCCCGGGGGTCGAAGCAGTCCAGCCGGGCCTTTGATACGTCCAGTGACTTCCCCCCGGCGTCTTTTTTACATGGGCCCATTGGAACCCAGAAAAACTGGGAATCTGCAAACTGAAAAACTGGAATCTGTTGGAACCCAGAACAACAAAGTAGGATGCAAAGTTGAGTCTTCGTACCTTTTACAGTTGATTGACCGATCTTGAAAGTGTCCCCCCCTCCCTCCTCCCGTTGCTTTTTGTTTTTGTTTTTTTGCTGGATCCTTTGGAGCCCAGAAAAACAACTGGAAGCTGCGTGTTTTTTGCATGGAAATGCCACTGGAAGTGATTCCCCTATTTTTTTACATGGATTCATTGGAGGCCAGAAAGACCCACTGGAATCTGCGGACAGACTTGAATTCGCAAGTCATGCTTGTTGTGGACGGAGAAAATGAAGGCAAACCTGCTGGGCCAGAAAGGAACTTTTGCCCAAGGGAGAGTCCCTGACGTACTACAAAAAGCTTCCCTCCCACATGGACAGTGGGGTGAGAGGGTAACTTTTGAGCTGGATATGCCGGAAGAAAATAAATGGCAGGCAGTTCACCTAAAAGACCCCACCAACTCTTTGATTTGGCAATTGTCCAAACTTGACACCGCTGAACTCGTCAAAACCCGGAAAACCCAGGTCTGTGGAGGGCTCTGGGACAAGTCGAGGTGTCGGTGGCCCAGGTTTTCACCCGTCAAGAATTTCATTGAATCCCATTGAAGAGTGACCAAAGAAGCAGGTTTGAGATGGGTGTGAGATCAACGGCCAATGGCCCTCTGAAGGACTGGAGGTCGGAGCTATACAACATTTATGGCACCTCCTGCTGATCCTGGAAATCGGAAAAGTGTGAAGGAAGGGATGTCATTCATGCATTTCATATTTAGGGCCCCCCAAAACGGCTGCAGAAAAGCTGGCTCTTCCGGCAGGCGACAAACAACGCCTGACCCCTGGTTACCTCTGGAGGATCCCCGGTAACTCACTCTGCCATGGCGTCTCTCAGCTTGGTTTGAGCTCCTCTTTTTTGCTTCTCGAAATATCCATGGCCCCAGTCCATCACGCGAGCTCCATCCCCAGCAGTTGGTAGGGCCCCGGCTGGCTCCAGTGGTCGCTCGCTGAGCTCGTCCAAGAGCGCCGTGAAGGCATCCTGCGGGGATCGAAGCCCAAGAGCCGAGGAGCCGAAGAGCGCGTGCTGCCGACAGAAATTTACCAGATGCCGCGTGATCGCCATTGAATCCGTGAGGGCCACTTGACCAGCGCCTGGGAATTCAAAAGGTCCACTTGGATCCACAGCTAACAAATGCTTCAATTCAATCTCCAGTCGGTTTGCCCAAGCCGCGGATGGATTGTGTGAAAACAACCCAGCCATCTTCCCGGTAGGCCACGCGATGAATCGTCACACCAGCTAAAACGAATGAGAAGTTCCGAGAGCCGAAAACTTGACAAACTTGCCGCGCAAACCAAACGGTTGAGGAGTTGGGCCTGACATGGTTCCCAAATTCGACGGCAGGGACGCTCATTGGCCGTGAGGGCCCCTTCGGTTTCCCTTGAATGCCCCAGAAAGATAACGACTCAAAAAAACACACAGCCACACACACACACACAAATTCATGGGATTTGGGTGAGCCAACATGTTCGAATGGCGCAAAGGGGTGAGTGTGCCATTTCATCCCCTTTGCCTTTGGGCCAACGTATCACTTGAGAACCCAGCTGGTTGCTCGCCAGCGGCACAGCTATATGTCAGAATGAGGTGGTTTTCCCTTGAGTTTCCCTTTGAGCCAAAGAGAATGGGTTGCCATGTGGGGCATAACCCTGTGGCACAATTCACATAACCCAGCCATTCTTTTGGCGAGCACACTGAAAAACACAACCTCCATACGAGTATGTGCATATCCGTGTTACATACATTGCATATATTCTATTTGTGTATGTATATATATATATATGTGTGCGTGTGTATGCCTATACATATATGTACACATTTAAAAGCCCACCGGCGTCACTTCAGGATCCATCTGGGCCCAGGGCCGGGCGATGCCCCTGGAAGTCGAAGCGCAGCAAGGGCGCCTCATCCGGTTCCCAGGCTCAGATCAACCGTCCGGTTGGACTTCAACCAAGTGAGCGTGGCTCAAAATTAACCAGGAGGGGCAAACCGCCATGTTTCCACTTACCAGGGCAACCCATTTTGGTATCGGTGTTTTGAGCCGCGGCCAAGTTGAGTCATGATCCTAGAGCTGTGGGCTGAAAAAAAGGTTAGATCTTCCCAACAAAGCTTGGTAAATGAAATGAATACCCAACATGGAAGCCTGGTGCATGGAAACAACTCGTAAATGGAAGCCTCGTGGAAACAAGGACTAAATTCTGTTTCACGGCTTGATTTCGACCCCATACCCGTCGAAGAATGTCATTTTTTTCAACACCCCTTGCATTTCCCCGTTTATGGCGAACTCCATGACCGCCTGGTGGTTTGGGGGTGGTGGAAGTCATCTATGGCGGTGCTTTCATGTTTGCTTGACACATCAGGGCCGGCAGTGTTCCCTCTTAGCCACTACATTTAAAGTCCAACAAGGAGACATGACATATAACATATGGAGTAGGCGAGAAACCGGTAAGGTTGGGAGGTAAGGCCTCAGTCCCGTCCCCTTCAGGATCAGCCCCATGACTTTGTGAAAGAGAATCAAGCGCATGGTGTTGAGCGCTCTTCAGCGCAGCCAGTTGTTCATAAACTGCATATTTGGACCCACCTCTCAGTTGACTTTCTGACTAGCTCATTCGCTTCACGCTTGATGGTCAAGCGGCATGGTTCATGGATCATGGAATTCAACGTCAGGGTATGTTGTCAGACATCCCTGTGTGCTGGAGACGTTTGTGCCTGTGGCCAGATCCCTGAATTAAGCATTTTGCGCGCTTTCTTCATGCCAGTTTGGAAGCCTCGCAGCCCGAAATGGTTGAACAAGTGCATCCCCCCCCCCCAACACACATACATTGTTTTGTGGGAAAGGGTCTTTGTGGGGAGTATGCCCCTCCCCTTCCATACGCAGGCTGGGGATAAGCCAATCTATAAGTATTTTCACATTGCAACTGCCCGGCTTTCAGTTTGCATTCCCAAAGTGAGTGTACCTATGGTCCACAACAGCAACAATCTAAACTGCAGCAGCGAGCACTGCATCAGAATCAAAACAGTAAGAACTTTCAAGTTGGACCCCTGTAATTTGGAAACGCCAAAGCATCCTTCCACTTACACTCTCAAAAAAAGCTCAGGTGACATCCCCATGGAAAACGTCTCCTGTGCTCCTGTGAGCTGAAGCGTTCGAAAACAATCCTCGGGTTCAACCGGCGTCCGGGAAAAAGTTTTGCCGTCTCCTTGAGCTTCCGCGCGGCTTCGGCCAGAAGCGCCTGCCTGCGGTGGATCTCCTTGGCATCCAACCTCCGGCGCGGAGTCGGGAAATTTCGCAGCAGTTTGTGGAAACAACCTGGGTCCTCCAGTTTTGGAGGTTAGAATAAGGGTACCAACTTTTTTCTGTAGTCTATTTTAGTGGGGGAATTCTGCCCCCAAAAAGTTGGTACAAGGCCACTACTGGGGGACCTAGGTACTGTGGATGGACGAAATCCATTTTGCACCACACAAGAACCGCTGGAATGATCAGTCACCTGTAAATACCAACGGACCATGGGTTTCCCATGGCTGCTTAGGTGGTGCGAAATGGATTTCGCAACCATTCACAGTAGGTCTGTCCTTTTCTTGGAGGATACCTTGTTTTCGTGGTTCTACCTTTTTTGGGGGGGCTCCCCTAAAAAGCAACACAGCCACATGACTGTTTGTCTCAGGGAACTGCAACACAAATAATTGGGAGAGCAGTTTGGCAAAGGAATCCTTGACCACTTTGAGTTGGAAGATTTTGATGAGGCACTTCCCCACACCTCAGCTAGGGGGTCAAACCTAACAAACCACCAATATCACCAATTCAGGGCAAACCTGCATGCTTGTCGCAAAAGGAAACTAGGGGCAAAGCAATTTGGAAAAAAAAAGGTTTCGGGTATTTCAAAACGACAATTTGCCATGACTATAGACTATAGACTATAGATATGTGTAGTACAATGGTAGTGATTCAGCCCCTTCTATGTATTGTAACCCGCAGCAATGGGGTGTCTTCCCTTTGGGTTTCCCAAACCCAAAGACAAATAGAATCAAATGGATGGTTTGCAGGTAACAAAACAAATTGATTATTTTGGTAGGTCCCAAGTGACTTGAGGGAACACAGCTTCAAGTCCAGATTGCCCCAACTGGACCAAAGCGGGGCCTGGTCAAAACGCTACACTTTATAGTGGAAACGTGTTGTTTCCCACTGCCCAAACAAGCAGATCAAGTCCAGACAATTGAATCCATGCCAAAATATAGGAGAGTTCAACTGAAATTAGGGTCGCAAGCCCCCTTTGCGCGGTGGCTATGATTTGCACACTGAAGTGATCTGCCCAAGTAGAACTCCAATTTAGGACTTCAGCAATTCACGCAAAGTCCCAGTTTCCCCCAACCATGAACCTCGACCTGCCGATCAGAAATGGACATCTCCATGGTCAACGTGTGCACTCGGCCGGCTTGAGAGCCAATGGAAGTTGGGACCAATCATGGGAAACATGGCACACCAAGCGCTTGAGGCTCCAAAAAACCTCAGCAGTGGGCTTCCTTGCCTCCACCCGAAAGCTCATCTTCTACCGCACATGGCAAACAAAAAAAAAACATGTCCGTCCCCTGATCTCCTTAAAGACAGATCTATAAAAAGAAAAAAAACATGCCATCGGCCAGCTGCAAGACTAAATCTCCGTTTTGGTGCGTCTGGGTCTCCCGCTGCAGCAGCGTCGGGACCAAACGCTTGGCCCAGACACCAAGGGCCTGCCGATCGAAGAGAAGAAGTGCCGAGGTCCGCTTCTGGGTCCAGAGGAGAGGTTCGAATATACGGGTACCGGATTATGTTTTTTCAGGACGTCTATTTGAGTAGGGGCTTGCCCTCCCCAACCAAAAAGTTAGGTGAGAAAGGGCACCAAGCTGGGGGACCTAGTCTTGGAGCCCCCTTTCAAGCGCTATCCTGGGGCGTTTGAGACCCGCTTCAGCTTTCGCTTGGTGTCGCCTTTGGAGCACGGAAGGTTTCAAGGAAAATGGAATGGAAGGGAACCTGCCAAGAATTTCACGCCGCAAGTGTTCGGGACCCTCTTGACCACTGGTTTTTGGCTTCAGGGACTTCAAAGCAAGCCGTCAACCCAAGCACCCATCAACTGGGCAGTTCAAAATGAAGGGTTTGCTAATCCATTACCCCTAAACAGAATCCGTAAAAAACCACTACAAAAGGTGACAATCCTTTCGCAACTCAAGGCTGAAGGATTCCTCTTTTGCCCAACCAGGGTTGAGCAAAACCTATACAACCAGACCTGATGTTTCCCTCTTAAGTGAACTTCCCTGTGTAGCGAAACCCAATGAATGCTGTTCACGCAACAACTGCCGGAGCGGCATGGTCGAACCACCCCGCCCCCTTCGCTCCGCACCTCCTTGGAGGGGTCAAAGGGCAGCTCCACGCTAAAGCCCCGCCAGTCCACTCGGCCTGCGCCAAATGTCAGGTGACTGTGTAATGTTGACCCCGGAATAATATACCCCGGTCTATTCATATGGGGGTGTCCCTGGTTGTAGTGGGGATTCATCACTTTTGGAGGGGAACACCCCCATACCAATAAACCACGGCTTATTCATCCGGGGTCAACATTACAGCCAAAAAGAATCAAGCGCGTGTTCAAAGGGACCTGAAAAAGGGATGAACGGTTCCAGTTGATTTCATTGATTATAGCTTCCTTTTTGAAGGACAAACACATCCCGCCATGCGCTGCATTGCATCCAATCCAACGAACACCAAAAAAATGATGACTGCGCGACGTGTCTGTCCAGGGCGTAGCGTCTTAGCGCAAGCTGATCTCACCCCACCATCAGTGCTGGACAATGGGCTCTCTCCCGGTGATCAAATTAAAGCAGCTCGGGAGTTGGTCAACTCCTCTTCTGCGGTTGAGCTAAAAACCAAACATCCTCTTACATTTCATTTCAGGGTTGTGGGATCAAGGGGTTTATCCCCACTTTTGTGATACAAGGGACTCTTCTCCTTTATGTCAGGTTTGAATCTTCGAGAAGCCCTTCTTGTTGTATCACAGATTCGTGGATTCCATTTCAAGCCCTGATCCCAGGTGTTTTGCATACAGCATGGGGTAGAGGTGTTTTTTGTTTTACTAGGTCCGGTTTTTTACTAGGTCCGGTTTTCCGCAAAGCTGCCACCATCCCCGGCAAACCAGACCTAGTAAAATAAAAAACACTACCTCGTCTCAAAAAATCCTCAGGGATCCCTCGCTTCCCCGCTTCGCCGCTTCGCCTGGGAAGGGAAGGCTCCACTCCACCGGGGGGCCCTGGTTCCGGTACCTGACAGCGTGGCATGCCCGTGTCTTCGGGGAGTCCCTAAGAGAAATCCCCAAAGACCGGGAAAAACATGGGAACCCTTTGGAACCTTGACTGGATACCGAAACTGGAAAGCTAGAAGGTCAAAAGCTCGATGTTGGGCAACTGAGCATCTTTTGGGTGGTCCACTTTGAGACAAATGGTTCAACGACTCTGGAAAGCGGTGCCAGACCCTTGTACCAAGAGGGCTTACAATTGACGAACATCTGTGGCTTGATGGGGTGTTGCCACAGAAACTCAACAGCCCCAAGCCCAAGGCCTAACTGCGTGCACGAATCAAAAGATGAAAGTCAATCCTTATTTCATCGGAGAAGAGCCAGCCTGCAGTTTGCCCAACGGCTCCCAAGCAGGTAGAGCCCTTGGCAGGCTTGATCGAGCTAACGGTCGAGGTTTTTACCTATCTAGTCTAGCCACACATACTGCGGGTAAAGTTCCAGCGACAAGCAGGCTCTACTTGGCAAGATACAATTGGGAAAATCAGGGAAATCCTTGGAGAAAAGACGGACCCATTCAATGTGATGCAGGCTGTACTCATGTTTGCTTGATTGCTGAGGGTGCTACTGTTGCAAGCAGACGCAAACTGCTTTGGGCTCGGACGGCCGCGAGGACCAAATCGCGCTCTCATTCTCATCCTGAATCTTTAACTGACATGGGATTGAATTCGTTCTCTGCCTGATCTGTAAGACGAATCTGATTCCGAAGCAAACCTGATTCATAAGATGCCTTCCGTCGGCGTGGAAGGGCCTGGACTTCCTGCTGACAACCCCAAAAAATGAGTGGATTGGGCTCCCCTTCAAAACAACACCTGAATGGATGCATCAAAAGCATGCGCGCACAAACACACATCCAAGGTTGACTCCGGATTGACAGGCCTGGTGGATTCTGTTTGGCCAAAAACTGAACCAGAGCCGTCCTTTTTTGGACTCTCGTTTGGAGATCGGTGGGAAGGGGCCATGGGTCAAAACCCCTTACCCCCCAGTGAACATCCGATTCAATCCAACCACTAAAATAGGTCCTAAAATGGGTGGTGAATTCACCTACTAACCAAAATGGGATTCCATTAGTTTTGAACCATGGCCAAGTACCTCTCAGCATCTCATGGGGTCACCAGCTGCCACCAGGAAAGAGGATGACCACAGGCAAACATCCCGCCAGCACCTGTGTCGGTAAGGCTGATGGACATAGGACATGATTTCTGGGCTCAGACCCCCGCTAAAGCTTCACTTTTAGCGGTATAAATGGAAACTACCACTAACACTAAAAGGCTGAAAAGCTAAGGGGCCGGCAGGGAGCCACCAAAGTAGGACATGGGTTGCATTCCGAACTTTTGGTGCATATCATTTAATTGCGCTGGGACTTGTTTGTATATCCGCATGTTCTTGTTTGCTTCTGTTTTTTGGAGGGCGGAGGTCCAACCATTGAACATCGGCACGCCAGAAGGCGCCACCACATCCTTGCGTAGGTGATAGCAAAAACGCGCAAGTCACACGCGCAGAAAGCGCCAATCATCAGCCCTCAAGCCCTGTCCAACAAAGCGCAGGGAAACGACGGTCTTCACCCGCTAGAACTTACCCAAAGAAGATGGGAGGCAGCTGTGCCCTGCGACGCGCTACCGAATGTAGAATGACACTCCTCTCCCTCTCTCCTTCTCCTTCTCTCTCTCTCTCTCTCTCTCTCTCTGCAAACGGTAAGGACTTCTGGTGCTGTTCCCGCTTGACAAGGCTGCCAAGCAAGGCCGGCAGGCTGCAGTGTCTAAGGTAGTGAGTCTTGCCTTTTCAAAAGCGCCTTTTCATGAAAAGGGCTTGACGATTCCTGCCCTGAGACTCTCCTGGCGTAAGAAGTGCCTTCTGGTCTTGCCGAAGGCAAACAAACATTTGGCTGAAACATGAAGTACGGGACACTTGGATGAAAACTCACTCGAACGCTGCAACATTAAACAAACAAAAAAGCTGAGAATAAGCATGCAGCTTGTGACAGCTTGTGTTTGTGTGATTCCGTAGGCTCGCAGCTCCCGTGTTCCGGTGTAGATCGCGTGATTTGAGGCAGGCGCAGCGTGGAAGAGCCTCATGCGGAAGGTGTTGTCCTGAGGCGTCTCGGCACGGAACCGGTTCTGAAACCTCACGTCCGCTCTGCTAGGTCCTCCAGTTTTGGAGGTTAGAATAAGGGTACCCTTTTTTTCTGTAGTCTATTTTAGTATTGCAACCCTCCCCCAAAAAAGGGTAAAAGGGCACTACTGGGGGACCTAGTCTGGTGATCAAACCCCAGCCGCCTACCGACCTTCGCCTCCAGTTTCTCGAAAGGCGGGCGAACAACAAATCCCCTACAGGCCTTCTAAGACCAGAGGTTTTTGCTTGGGGTGCCCCCACGGGCCCCCACGTTGAGAGGGAATGTGCTCATGAGGGTGAATCACCTGGGAGCCCTTCAACCAACCAAAGCCGGCTTTCGCCTATTTGGCTGTGGCTCAAAAAAACGTGCTTGATTTTGAGCCACACCCATTTAACTCACAGTGTAAAACTGTTCGCCGAATTTGAGGCTTGCCATGGCCGCCTTCCAATGGGCACTTGGCAACGCTCATTGCTTTCAGTCACCACAGCTCGCCAAGGGAAACCAGCATCCAACAACAAAGGTGGCAAGTCTTTGGTTCATTACCTACTTGAAAGAACTAGTACTGGTTCACAAGTCTTTGGTTCACTACCTACTTAAAAGAACTAGTACTGGTTCACAAGTCTTTGGTTCAGTGCCTACTTAAAAGAACTAGTACTGGTTCACAAGTCTTTGGTTCATTGCTACTACTTAAGAACTAGTGGTTCACAAGTCTTTGGTTCACTACCTACTTAAAAGAACTAGTACTGGTTCACAAGTCTTTGGTTCAGTGCCTACTTAAAAGAACTAGTACTGGTTCACAAGTCTTTGGTTCATTGCCTACTTAAAAGAACTAGTTCTGGTTCACAAGTCTTTGGTTCATTACTTTGGGCTTGCCTGTACTTTGTGCCTGGGTCCCCGGCACCGGGAAGCACCGGGCAGAACACCGCACGCCGGATCCTGCAAACTCCATCGACGGCCATGGCTCAAGAGCCAAATCGGTTATCCCCCAGTGAATTCATCCCAATCCAACCACTAAAATAGGATCGAAAATGGATGGTGAATTCACCTACCCCAAAATGGTACCATTGGTTTTGACCCACTGCCATATGATTGTTGTCCAAGCTGGCCTGAAAAGGAACACCAGCATGAGTTCATCCAAAGATTCCTTCCTCCGGCTTCCAAAGAAATGCATGGTCAAACCTCCCGACATGTGGAGCTCAGGAAGCCTGGCAATTGTCATTCCCCAAGCCCCAGGCGTTGACCATCCCCCTCAACCCCCTCTGCGAGGCCACGGTCTGTCATTCGTGCAAATGGGTCGTTGTCGCTTTCCAGCTTTCCCAGCAACAGCCACGTGCTGCCACAAACGGACAAGAACCACAGAGGGTGGCTCTCGTGGAAATAATAAAAATATGTTGCTTTCCAAGTGCCGACCGCATGTCTCACCTCAGGCTCTTGCACAAACTTGGGCTGCCCGAATTGGAGGCTTGGCCAATTTGGCCAATCTATACCTCAAGCCTCGAAGGCACCAACTCCAAAAGTTGACCAACCGTCAATTCGTGCATGGGCCGCTGAAAATGGCTATTTTTGGAATCCGCGCTCTTACCTGTTGCATGCTCCCCCAAAGCCCGGTCTCAGTGCCCAGGCTGGTGCGCCCACTCCGGCCCAGACGGTGCACTGTGGCACCTCGGCTCCGACGGCTCCGACGGATCGGCTCCGATATGCTCCGATTCAATGAGCATGGAACGTCGAGTTCGTTCGGGGGGGTTCTGGTTTCGACCATTCTCCTTTCAAAGGGACCGGGCCTATCAGGTTTCAGATGAATTGCTGGGAGGCTATATTGGTTTTATGTATAACAGGGATGCGGTTTCTGGAGGGAGAAAATGGGAGAGAGCTCCTGGAAAACATCACCCGGAAATTATTCGGGCTTTTCGGGTTTCAGGGGAGTGGGCCGAGGCTCCAAGTCTACCGCTGTTAGACTTCTGGTTGCATGGCGCATGGGTTGGCTTCTGGCAAGGCGCCATTTCCGGTTTCCGGTGTGGGCAACTGTTGATGGGATGTGGTTGCATTGTGTAGAAAAGCCATTACGTGGTTTGTACTGCCATGGTGTCCAGCCAGTTCAGATGTGTGATGCAAAACAAGAAGTATCACCCCAGTTGATACAACACTTCGGTGGCGCAAGCATAGTGTCCAGTAGTTCCAAGAACCAGCCTAGGCATGGTGCCAAATGCCTGCAGGCGCCTGTCCATGTGTTTCTTGTCTCGGGTGTTTTCGGTCACATGCCATGTCGGCTCCCTCACGCAGGTGTTGCAGCTGCACCAGTCGCATTGCTGTTGCGGTATCAGAGCTGCCAATATCTGAGTGCTATTCCTACTTGCAAGCCATACTTCATGAGATGAACGCTATCAAATCTTAGAGCAAGACGATGCGCAAAACAAATATCCAGTTGATCAGTGACTCTGGATATTGGGGTTGATCATTTTTAGTGAATCAAAAAAGTCGCCAATCCCGGGGGCCTACTGAACCAATCCGCAATCCGCGCAATCATCCTTGCACTGGTTGGTAATACCCTGAATCCGCAATCCGTGCTATAAGTTGTGGATCGAAACCTTCTGAAGGATCTTCGAGCATCCGTGCAAGCCGCAATCCAGAATCCGCAAACCGCACACTTTAATCCATAAACCGCGTACTCGGCAACCCGCTACTCGTTGGGGATTAGGTTGGCAAGCTTTGCCTTTGCAAGAGACTTGTCCGCCAAGCGGTCGGCTGGACTTTGAAGGGGGCCTGAGGTCGCGGAAATAACAAGCTAGAAAACGGGATGTAGAGGATGCCACTGCACTGAACAGCTGGGGGAAACAGCGCCCAACGCATATGCTGAATCCCACCAGCCCTCTAGGCTTGCGGCGTGCTGCACACAGGGCTCTTGCTACCTGCAAGTCCGGGAAAAAATCGTAAGTCCCGCCCTGGGAGGCCTGGAAAAATTCAAAGACTCATCTTTTCTGCAGGTGTTGCCGCCAAACATGATGTTTGATTCCACCAGGAATTAAACCAGTCTTCTGCAAGATTGATTTAACAGAGACCTAAGTTTTGAAACCATGAAACATTGGAGCAACAACAGTTTACATGTCCGAAGGTTCAGCCTTGGCAACTGGAAATAGATCGACATGGACGCAGGAGCCTTCTTCCAGAACTCCCAACCCGTGGGGCTGTTTGAAGGGCTAACCGCCCCCGTGGAATAAAAGCGGAATCCGCCCTCCGGAACGAGATTTGTCATGTCCACAGATCAATTCTCTGGTTCCATGTAGAAGGGCTCTGCTTTTTTCCCCTTCCGCCCACCCCTCGGTTCCACAGGTCTGCTTCCGAGCCAAAGGGTTCCAGGTGCGTCGCCTCTCTGACGTCGCACCTTCAATTGACATGCAGCCTGAATCACTTCTAGTTGGGCTTGCATGCCAGATTCACCCAGAGTGGAAGTATTGATGGATCCTTGCAGCCTTTCTTGGTTCAATCTCTTTCGGTGCCTTCATTACAAGCATTGCTTCTCAACTAGCCAAGCGAGGGTGTTCCACCGCTAAGCACTGCTCACCTTTGCCAAACGTCTCTGAACATGCCTCGACCTGTCTGCAAGGCCAGCGACAGGGTCCATGTGCTCAAGGTGCCGGCAATTAATTTCTACCTTTCGTGTCGATGCCCATTAAAACCATAGTCTGAATAGGGCAAACCCAACAGATCAATACCTGGACAAAATCAAGACCAACTGGACAAGACAACAAATGATGTGTCAGGGATAAGGTGAATTCTTGAATGGTTGGCGATCTTTGAATACCGTCCACAAGAGTACCAAAGGTCTAATGAGACCCGTTGGCGTTGCGACGTTGTGGGATGCTTCAAGCAGGCCTTCGTGTGATCGCCATCTGTATCCTACATTTCTATGTTGCATGGGCACCCACTTCTCATGTTGAAAAGAGAGTCTGGAAACAATGCTTAAACATCCCCGACCTGTTTTGCTTCCCAAATACTTTCGTGTCAAATCGAGGGTGGCAAAATTGAGCAGAACATCATGTTTGCTATTTGGGTGTACTGAATTATCCTTTTTCGGGGACCCCCCCCCAACAACATTGGTGGTTTTCCTGTTAGCTTCATTTTGAACCACCCCCGAAAAGCGTAGCAACTCCAAAAAGGACAGCCCCACATGGCGCCGCTTGCGACCCCGTGCCTCCATCCCGAGTCGCCACCACGAAGAGGTGGGGCATGGCATGCTGGCCGGAGTCGTTGCCCGGCGAATCGATTCGTCGCTTTGGAAGTGGGGAGGCCCAGAGTTTTCAACATGGTGGACACCTCTGTCGGTTAGGTAAAGGAAAACAAAAGGAAACCAACCATGTGTGGCGACTATGTTGAAGAAAGCCCCATATATAGCTTTCAAGGACTCTTGATTTCCAGTGGAAATGCTGAATGACCTGAGGTCAATTCTGTTACATCTCAAGGGATCCCTGCGGGAAATGGACGACCGACCAAACTGGACGCAGAATTGTCCCGAGGAGCTCGACAGTTCTTCCCAAAACCAGGAATGCAAACCGGCCTCACAAGTTCCTATGGACACACGGCCAACAGCTCTGCTCGATGCTTCCTCTGGCCATCTTGACGCGGAACTGTTGCCATTCGGAGAAGCTTTTGGCCAGTTGCTTCAGCCGAAGGCTGTAGAGACACCAAGAAAGCGGAATTGTTTGCGTGGTAAACAAGCCCATGTTTGATTGAATTGTCAGGTTATGTTTGTAGGGAACTGGCGATGTCCCGGGGAAGCTCCTCATCTTTCAGGATATGTCTTTGCCTTCCTGATATTTTCCCCTGATGGAATGGTACGTCTTGGCCTGGGCCTACTGCCGGGCAGCCAGCATCAACCCGCGCAACTCAAACAAAAGTACCACCTGGCCAGCAAAGACTTAAATGACTGCCATACGCAAAGCAAGGACCTAGAAGCAAATGCAGAGGTGCGGAAGGAGCAAAGATTGCTGGTTGCCGTTGCTTTCACACCTTTTCTGCAATCGCACTCAATGTGATTCCACGTCCATGGGCTTCCCCCATACTGGAGCAGCTTCCCAAATTTACTGGGAAAGTGGGCCATCTTCACGAGCTGTTAGTGGCTGTGTCCAGGGCAGGTTGGCAAGATATCCAGCGCCAAGACGATCATCCGCGCGTAGTGCCGCCATGAAAATGGTGAGCGCTGCGCTGCTTGCCCACGCCAATTTCGATCAGATTCAATGGTCACAAATGTGTCACTCCACCATGTTGAGGGTCTTCCAAGTGCCTCCTGTCAGCATCCATGCTCGTTGCATCACAGCATCAACACCCGAGATACTCAACTCTGGCCGAACACTCGATGGACTCTCCTTATGGTGTCTAAGCAATTTGTTTTCAGTCTGCTAGTAAAAGTTGAATCTTCATCCGAATGGCTGTTCTCTGCGATCTGGTCTTGCTCCTCTGGAAGCCACATATGTTCAAGATATGGCTGGGGCAAAGCCAAGCACCCAGCCGGATATCACATGCAAGCCGGCTGCAAGATGTCCAATCGATCTTTTGCAGACGGTTGGTTTGAAAGGGTCTCCCTTCGAACTCTTAGATGTTTGAGCTCAGTAAATCTTTCGTGGCACATGTGACCCACAAGAACTATCTTCCGGTTTGCATGCTTTCATTCCTTAGCGGCTCTCGGCTGGTAATTTTGGTGGGCCTCGCATGTGCTCAAACTGAGAGACGACCAAGAAACCTCAGTGTGGGGGGGGTTGACAAAATGGATAGACTTGTGTGACGTAACGAAAGGTCTTGCAAAGCAGTTGCTCCCAGGGGGTATCTTAGGATAGAGGGCTCGTGCAATGATGGCAACGGTTACCTATTGGTTTTCCCGTCACACAATCCCAAAGAGGATCCAAATGAAATTGGATCACATCCAACAAAAGATACAGCCAAGACATCAACAACTAGCAGAATCAAGTAATGAACGCGACTATAGTATCGAACACCAAGAGCAGCGGAACTGAGCAAAGAATTGTACACATTTTTGCCACGCGTTTCTCATCTGTTGCAATATCTGCCGGAAAACACACACGTCACATCAGTCCTCCGTCCTCTGCAGCTGGAGCTTATCCGGGCTCAAAGCAGCCAGATTGGATGTTCAGGATGTGGCTGGGGCAAAGCCAAGCGCCCAGTAGCCGAACAACACACGCAAGCCTAGGTCGCAAGGCAAGAAACAGCGCCCGCTGCTGAGAAGGCATTGCTATCCCCTGCAAGGGGGGGGCTTGAAAATGCCCAAATACCGGTGTCGCCTGATTGCACTGGGATCACTAGGTCAACCGGCCCAAAGAGCCCCGTGACAGGACATATATTATGTTTTGCATGCTTTCATGCCTTTCATACCTTTCATGCTTTTCATGCCTTTCATACCTTTCATGCCTTTCATCCCTTTCATGTTTTTCATGCCTTTCATGCCTTTCATGCCTTTCATACCTTTCATGCCTTTCATGCCTTTCATACCTTTCATGCCTTGTGGCTCTCGTCTATTGCTGGTTGGTCCAACTTCTTTGTTGTGGCGAAAAACTGATTTTGGCGCAAACTGGTTGCTGTTCAAAGAAAAAACGCGTGATCCCCAGAAACTGGCGGGATCATATCCTGGGAAAGAGGGTTCCAGCTGCCTTTTGGCGGCCTTTTCAAAACCCTCCAAAACGGCATCCAAATCCCATTGCGAGAATCACAGCGATGGGTTCCTCAAAAAGAGTGTCCCATTCCAGTGGGTGTTTCCGCAAATAACATGCTTGAAGCTTGGGGAAACTGTTCTCCAACAGGTTTAAGGGTCAAAGGTGAAACACCCGACGTGGACACGGCGTCATGCGGCCGCTTTTAGTGTTAGAGGATACCTAAATGGACTCATGAAAAAAACAATCCAAATCCAATCTCAGAACATCCAATGTCAGAAATACATATGCGGGTGTCACACCGTGCGGGGTTGGTTGCAAGGGAACAAGAGGAAACCCGAATCATCATAAACCATTTCACCAACCTAAAACAAGGGACCCCCTTCCCTATGGAATGCTACAAATTGTCCAGATGTATAAATGAGTGTGTATACATATATACATATGTGTGGTCAGCCACTCCCCCCGATCGACCTTTTCTGTTGTGAAGTCCTTTTAACTATTTCATATGTATAGAAAAACACATTTTGATGCTAGGCTGCCTGGTGTCGTGTTTTTTTTTGAGTTGTATACTTATATTTATGATGCAGAACCATGAACGTGTATGTACAAAACCCCTGACCGGAATCTGGTCTCTGGAACCATTCCACATGGGATTGGCCATGATATAAACACATGCATTGCAACAGTGTTTTCTTGTGTTTTACTCTGACGAAGTGCAACACAACACAGTGTTTGACGTATTTTGGATATATGCAAGCATTAAATCTTATAGAACAAAAACAGCTGTTATTATAAGTTCTAGTTTAAAATAGAATGGAGTTTATTTAAGTTCGCAGATGCAACAGAACACAGACGGGAATCGTACGCAGTCACCTGCCAACCAGGACTTTATAATTCAGATTTAGTTAGAACTTGAACAGAACATAACAGGAAAGAATGAGAAACTTGTCTGTTTTGAAGGAGGGGTCAAACAACTTTCACAGCATAATGAATCAAGCAGGATTTAATGAAGAAGGAGCCTAATCTGAATTGATACTTGCAATTTTGATTTGCGTATCAGCCCCTTTCCACATTGGTTCTTACATGAATTTCAAGTGGACATTGAGTTCAATTTAACAAACGGGATGCATTGATGTTGGGCTTGCAGATGCGACAAACACGGACAGAGCTGACTTGTTTGGCTTGCAGATGGAACATGATGAATATGACATACAACGGACGTGTGCCCGCACCGCAGATGGTACAGATTAGTGCAGATGGCGCAAAAAAGGTGGATCACACGCGGGGGCTTGAGAATATGTATATTGCTTTATATACGAATATATATATATACATACATATATATATATATGTACGTACATGTTTCCCTGATCCATCGACCCAATTCGGGCAGTACATGGCCACGTTCGCCAGGGCGCAAAATGAGCGAGGCCCCCGGGCAAAGCAGAACCCAGTGACACAGAAGCTCATCACGCGCCACAGCCGCGAACAAGGCGCGCCAGGCAACCTGGATGCCCCCCCAAAAAAGGGCCCGAAAAGTGGTTTCGAACACCCCAAAAGTGGTTTGTTCCCTGGTGGCTTCCACACACGAGAACTACTGAGTTCCGTGTTGGTTCCTTTGAACACCCTTCCACACATGTTCAGTTTCCCGCCAACTTCCCTTTAAGCACTCTTATTGCATTGAACCAGCTGTGACATTTGCGCAGAGTGTTTAGTTTGCCTTGTGCTTTCCCTTTCTGCCTAGCTTCCGTTTGGCTGACCTTTAAACACCCCAGAGAGTTGTTTTCTCTTTTGGTCCCCCTTCAACACTCGTGTTTAGCTTCCTTGTGTCTTCCAGTCAAACATTCTGCAGCTTCCTGTTGGTTTTTCTTGGCGGAACAACATGCTCAGTTCCCTTTTAGCGTGTTCAATGCCACAAATGCTGAGCTTCCTTTCAGATTCCCTTTAGACACCCGAACCATGTGTAGGTTCCTGTCCGTCTCACTTTCACCCGAAAAGCTGCTCGGTTCCCTTTGGGATTCTCTTTGAACACCGTCCTCCTGCGCACAACACTCGGCACCAGTTATTGGTGGGAACCTTCTTTCATGGTTTCAGTCGCAACTGGTGCAAAGTCCATTTGGTCCACCGGCATTTTTGGAAGCCGCTCCTGAAGCTGCATGAGGATGCTGAGGGCACCTGAGAGACACGAGACTCGAGGCGGGGAAAACTGAAGGGCAAAGACAGGTCAGCTCGCGGCATGCGCGAAGAAGGCCCGCCTTGACTATATGCAATATATGTAGTTGTAAATAGTATGCATGTTACATATGTGTATGTGTATATATATATATATATATGTGCTGAATATGTGCTTTCTATATATCATGTGTGATAATGCAATTACGTACATATATATATATATACGCTATCCCCCCGCCCAACAAACCTAGGAGCTCACAAGCTGCCATGCGGATTGCTGTATTGGACGCCATTCCAGACAGGACGCTGTTTTGGTTTGGGGGGAGGGCTGCAAAAGAGAATGGATGGACAAACAGACTGTTCATTCCTTCTTTTTGGTTTAGAAGGGGACAGCTGTC